GATTCATTGCTCCGGATGCGTCTGCTCTCTGTGATGATTTATTTGNCCCGAGGAGCCACGTAGATTCATTGCTCCGGATGCGTCTGCTCTCTGTGATGATTTATTTGGGCTAATCTTCCTCGTTGCAGACTCATTAGTGACTGTTACCAAATGGTTACCAAATGGTGGCTTATCTACCTTTCGGAAGTATGTCTGGCGTTCACACCCTCCCACTTCCCACTAGGGAAGGCACCCATGTCAGTTTTCTCAAATCGGGACCCCAAGGCCAGGCGTGCACCTTTGCTTCAGTTAATGACTCTTCACGCTTCTCCATGTTCCTATTAAACACAAGCGTGGTGCTGGGATTTGATAATGGCGCCCCCCATCCCCCCAACTCTGTTGCTCTCTGTGCCTTATCTGCAGCAGATTCAGAGTCGGACCCTTTTGTGACATTGGCAAAAACAAACACAACATTCAGTTCTTGTTAGAGAGTGTGCGTTTCTGCTGCCCCTTAGATTAAAGAAATGTATTCGTGTCTTCCATGTCTGTCTCGTAAATCATAAAATCCATAAAGGAAGGGGGTATTTTAAAAAAATTTTTTGCACTTATCAAGTCCCACTGGAGAGCATTTAAGCCAGGCCTGTGTGCTTATAGTGGAGGCAAGGAATTAGTAGTGTTCACTGACTGTTCTAGGAGAGAGCTGAGTGATGTCTGCCACAACCCAGCTTAGTCTGTAGACAGCACTCTGGACTGGTTGGCTCATGTCTTCAGCATTTATGGCCTTGAAATCTCAGATGTTTAATTCTGTTTCCCAACCTGTCTCTGTAGCCCAAGTCATCCAGATATTGTCAGCTTAAAATTACGAAAACCCCTTCCCCATGTGTGTACAGAAACACATACATGTGTGCAGACATACACAAAGGTCACCTAATATCAGAGGCAAGAAAGGTACCAGGTGGCAGCATGTGTATCTGCACACACGTACACGCACACCCGTGCACACACACGTGCATGCATGCACACATGCACATGCATGGTGTAGGTAACACACAGTGAGTACTGAGCTTCACCTTGTGTGAAGATTGCCTGGGAGGAATTGCTGCCCAGCTGAGATGGTTGCATTCTCCAGAGGCCAGTTTCGTGAGTCAGGGCTACTGACCATTGTGTGTCTGGCATCCCTGCATTGTGGAGGATCAGTTACAGGCTCCCTTTTCCTAATGGAACTGAGATTCAGCTGTTAGTAAGAGAGGACAAATTGGGAGCTGGGAGGAGTGAGTCTACCTGCCCAGTGGCACTTTCTCATCCCTCAAGCTGTCCTTGCTTGACCTGGGTAAACAAATAAAAGATGATTTTCAGAAGAAGTTTTTTTTTTTTTTTTTT